AATTCAAAAAGATTCATGTACCAAAATGTTCATTGCAGCTCTATTTACAATAGCCAGGACATGGAAGCAACCTAAGTGTCCATCATCGGATGAATGGATAAAGAAGATGTGGCACATATATACAATGGAATATTACTCAGCCATAAAAAGAAACAAAATTGAGTTATTTGTAGTGAGGTGGATGGACCTAGAGTCTGTCATACAGAGTGAAGTAAGTCAGAAAGACAAAAACAAATACCATATGCTAACACATATATATGGAATCTAGTGCGATTCTTCTAATCCTTTGTTTCCCTTTAATTCCTGAGTCTACTGCTATGACTTAACCTCATACACTGGGTTGGATGTTTTTAAGTCTAGAGTCCTATTCACTGTGAGACGAAACCAGGGCTTTAAGGAAGATTTTGGGATTCTTAGAATGACAAGAGTTCAAATAAGGACAATGGAATCAAAGCAGAATAACAAGTAGCCAGCAAGTCCTGCTCTACTAGGTGAAGTACTCCTAAGAAGGAGGCAATTTAAATACCAGCTGGATTTCAGAGTTGTCCACTTCAAACTGAGATTTCCAGAGCTCCTGAAGCACGAGGACTTCCCTTAAAGTTTGGTAGAAATAGAATGTGAAAGTTTAAGATCAAGACCTTTTAGGATCTAGATTTTTATTTGAGTTCTTCCTTGTTAATTGCACAAAACTTCAACATAATCAAATATATCGAGTTTGAATGATATTCTAGTTACTAAAATGGGATTTTAGTTACTAAAGAGTAAAACTGTCCTGCAGTTTTGAGGTAGCAAAGTCTGTAACACCTGATACATCTGCTGATGTCTTTGTCAACACCGTCTCATACCCAGATTTCCAGGTAGATCAACAATTTCTGGATTACAGAAATATACATAATTGAAAAGAAAGAAAAAGTAGAGGGGAGAAATCAAAAGCATCCAGCTGAGATAAAGGATAAATAGGGAATGGAAAACAAAGGAAATAAAGAATAAAGAGACAAGTTTAGGAAAAAATAGCAAAAGAATAGCAAAGGATAAGCAGTGGAGTAGAAACTGAGAGAATCAGATTCTAGGACCAGCTCTGCTATTAGTAAATTGTGTTGTCTTGGACAAATCACTTTCCTTCCCTTCTTCCAGCTTTACTGGCCCATATAATCAGATACTTGTCTTCCTTTGGGTCAAATGACTAAGTATGAGTTCTAAGCATAAAACAATGAGATTTGTTTTCCTTTGCAGTTTATAAAACCAGTCTCCTTACTCTATAATTGGGCTATTTTATGAAAACACTCTGAAAAAAAAAGTAATACTTAAAAAAAAGTAAATTTGCCAGTCACTGACAAGTTCTATTCTCTTGATGGCTTCCTGAGCCCAGTCACTGAAATTTATCTTTCACTTTCAGGTTCCTGCATGACCTCATGCCGATTCAGCAACACATAGCAATGGTAAGAATTCCCTCCTACCAGTCTTCTAAACGAGAAAAGTTTTGATAACCAGTAACCTTAGAGACATAACTGTAATGTATAATCCAGGTCATTTCCCCTGGGCTCTTTCTGTGCCCTTCTGCAGCACTTCATCTTTAAAAAAAAAAAAAAGGCCCTTTAGGAACTTTTTTTAAAAATAAATTTATTTATTTATTTATTTTTATTTTTGGCTGCGTTGGGTGTTTGTTGCTGTGCGCGGGCTTTCTCTAGTTGTGGCGAGCAGGGGCTACTCTTCCTTGCGGTGCGTGGGCTTCTCATTGGGTGGCTTCTCTTGTTGCAGAGCACAGGCTGTAGGCACGCGGGCTAAAGTAGTTGTGGCGGTCGGGCTCAGTAGTTGTGGCTCGCAGGCTCAGTAGCTGTGGCGCACAGGCTTAGTTGCTCCGCGGCGTGTGGAATCTTCCCAGACCAGGGCTCGAACCTGTGTCCCCTGCATTGGCAGGTGGATTCTTAACCACTGCGCCACCAGGGAAGCCCCCCCTCTAGGAACTTTAAAGATCTCTTTATAATGTGGTTATGGCATTAGAAATCATCTCAAATGTAAATTGAACAGCAATACAGTACTACTTTGGGAAAATCTGAATCTTAGACTATTTTAACAGAAATGCAGTTAATTATTACTTTCATATACGCACAGCGAATTCAACGAGTTGTTGATGTCTGACTTTCTTTAATAAATGGATCATTTGTAATGAATCTGATTTTAAAGCAAATGAATACTCAAGTGCTTTAAAAAGTTGTTCTAGATTATATTAGAGGTAAATAACAAGTTAAGAGCACATAGTGGGACTTCCCTGTGAAAAGAAGACTCTCTTTTGGGGTCAAAAGAAAACCATGAGAGTGTTTCACAGTGTAGTTTCCCAGTAGCGCTGGCAGGGTGGGGTGCATTTGGAGCGCTCAGTAAGTCCCAGTGTATACGCCTGCATCTCCTTGTACATGTGTACTCACCAGAAGGCAGTCTCTCCCTGCCGGGCCTTTCCCTAATGGATTTCCATTTCTATCCATCGGGGACTTAGATGCCGCCTAGCAATTAGTCCTAATCAGGCAGCAGGAGTTTCCTAAGGGGACTGCCAGCTAGCCTAATTGCTGGCAGCTGTGGGGCTGCTCAGCGCGCAGCTGCGGGGCACGGGCTGTTAACCCCCAGTGTCCGGGGCTCCACAAAGATGCTTGACCTAGCAAAATTCCTGCTGTGTGTGGCATGTGTTGGGATCAATGCCTTATCTTTATTTTGGAAAACTGTGCTGAGAAGCTTGGATTACTTTATCTCCAAAGATACTTTAGGATAAGGAGTGAACTATATAACCCTGCTCTATAGCAGAAATTCATAGAGGAACTGAAACAGGATTTAAAAAAAAAAAAGCTCTATCATGGAAATTCTCAAAAATTCACGGAAGTGGAATAGTATAATAAGCCCATACATCCATCAAACAATTCTCTACATACTGCCATTCTTTTTAATCTATTCCCCACCTCTGTTTGTTTTGTTTTTTTTTTCTTTTTTACCGGAGTATTTTAA